TCAGAGAATCATGAATGCTTAAATGGATTTATCTATTTGTTTTTATTTTTAGGCTCTAAAGCAAACCGCATGTCATCACATTTTTTTAGAGCATTTTATAATCATCTTTTGAGCGCTGCAAATTGCGTGCGGGTCTTGCGTTTAATTGCTGTTGCCAGCTAATAAATTTTAATTGTCGTCAATTAGCAACGGAATGCAGCGGAAAATGCATTAAAAAAAGAGTAAAAAAAAAAACAGCAAAACAAAAAAATATGTATGCAGGGCAATGCAAATTGGGGGTGTTCGACTCTAAATGAGGCCTTCGTTAGCATTTGAAGCGGATGTTGGCAATGCAAATGTTATGAAATTCCATTAGGCAACAAAACAGAAGAGAAAACCAAGCAAATTTATTGCATATTTTTGAAATGGCCAGAGGATTGAAGATATGCCAAAGCGACACATTCTCAAGATGTTGAGCTGCTGAGATGAGAACTGAAAAACTGGAAACTGCGAGTTGAGAACATGCGGCTCACATGTGTGGACAGCGCAGCGGTCGAGACGAATGCATTAAGTTGAAATTTCATTCATAAAGACTTTTATTTTATTGCGCCAGCCTCAAAGAGGCGACCACAAGGCGCACAGAAGGCGTGCAGGCCAAACAAAAACAACATCAAAAAGAAAGAAGAAGGGAGTGAGAGAGAGAGAGAGAAGGAGACGGATGGACAGCAGGCAAACAATGATTTATTGGCATTAAATATGGACAACTCAGGCCTTTGGAATAACCAAGCGAAATACCGAAACAGACGAATGTCAAACAGCACATAAAATTAAAAATGCTAAAGCGTAAATAAATATGTATGAAGATGCTGTGGATATGGCAGGAATTTTTGGGAGAAATTTCTGAGCTATAAAAGATTTTTTATATTTTTTCAATTTTAACAATAGTGTGACTTAATGGGGCAATAATATGATGGAAGTTGAGGGAAGGAAAATGGGCTTGAAAGCCAAAAATATCTAAAACATGAGACAAATAAATGAATAAAGTAAATTAAAAAAAAAAAAAAAAATAATAAAAATAGTTTTATGCTTTATACTATATATATACAATTCTTTTTTATTCTGTATAATATAAATAAATATCTTTAATCTCTAGGTATATAGAAATGTATACTCCTCTTTGATCAAGCTCAAATGTGAACTATATACATATTTATATAAAAGTATAATCAAATATAAATATCGATTTTATATCGCAATATAGATATGTATATCATAATTTAGATATACTTTATATACCAAATTTGTTTTATAACTTTTCAATTTTAATTTGTTTTATAACTTTTTTATTCTCCATATTTATACATAAATTTATTCAGTTGTAGTTTGTTTTACATTCTCAATAGTAACAGAAATTGGGTTTTTAAAGATTTTGCACACACGAATTGTGAGCGTAATGCAAATTTCTGTGTGAAGCACCTTGAAATTTCTGGTAGGTCGCACACCAAATTAAATTATACTTTATAGATACACATAGAGGCTATTGTTGTTGTTGTTGTTGTTGTTATTGCAAATGTAAACAATAAGGAAAATTACATTTGCTATAAAAACAATTCCAGCATAACGAATGCCCGAGACGTGCCACAGCTAAGCTTTGGGTGAGGGTTCAAACAAATTGCATTTGCGGCTTGACTTGTCGCTTGAGTGGAAAATTGCGTATCACATAACTGAATTTGATATAGACAATTAGAGACGTAGAGAGAGAGAGAGAGATACAGAGGGACTGCTAGATAGAGAAGAGATGGCGAATGGCATAAAAAATTAACTGCATATTATAATGCGGCATGAATGATAATTATTATGACTGCGAGGCGAGGCTGCGGCACCCAGAAGGAAATCGAGCATCGAGCATCGGCCATCTGACCATGGACCTGATCTCTCTGACAACCCAAGCATATTTTGCATATTGCATACAACAAAAAGGTTCGTTTTGTTGTTGTTTATTTACTTTTTGCTTTCAATTTGACCGCAGCGGCAGAGCCAGAGGCAGCGGCAAAGCCAATCAATAGTTATGACCCAATATTTCACGTGTTTCTTTCATAAATTTTTTTTCTTTCTTTCTTTTTATATAATTTTTTTTCTGTTGTCAGTTCTTTCACGCCGCTGTTGAATGAATTTTTTTTTTTTTTTTTTTTTCGATGCAACGTTCAGCTTCGACCGCAATAAGTCAAATACGAGGCCGGCGAGCTTTATTATGTCGAACTCCAACCGCAGCGCAGAGACCTATTCGACAGAACTGGGAGCATGGCAATTCAGCAGATAAGTCAATTATATTGACTTGGCCAAGAACAAGCAAAGCTTTGAGGTGGCAAGAAGTCTTTGCCTGAATTGTTGCAGTTGTTGTTGGTTCTTGGTGTTGTTGCTTTTGCTTTTGCTGTTGACTGTCTGAAATGTTCCCACACCGTTGAAAGCCCTTAGCGGTTAGCTGGATGTGGACCAAGGCGATAACATCAACACAGCTGCCAATGGCTGTCAATGGTATAAAACGGAGCACAGTGGAGCCGAAATTGTTGATGCGGGCGTCAAACAGGTTTTGTTTAGTGAAGAATATTAATGTAGTTATTACGAGTCTTTGATGGATTTTAAGCATTTATTGTGAATACATATACAGGAATTGACTGCATGAGCTCCTATTAATATTAAATAAATTTCAAGTGCTGCATAAAGTTTGACGTTCTTAAAAACAAAGATGTTTTTAATTTAAATTGATTTTTCTCTCCCTCTCTATCTCTCTCTCTCTCTCTCTCTCTCTGTTCTAAAACTTGCACTTCATTGACCTTAATAATAAATAATATTATTTTATATTAAATATAAATATTGCTTTAATTTACAAATAATTTATGCAGTATCTTCCCAGAAAGATAGGCATAAAGCACCCAACAACTTCATATTTAGCTTTTAATCATATTTTTCCTCAACAACTATGTAGTTAGCATTAATTTGAATAGAGAAACTTAAAAAAATTTAACAATATTTGGCTAATAATTATAATTTCATTATTTCTGCTAATTATTAATTATTGATGTTGTTTCACATTTATAATATTTTTATTTTATTTTCATTATTTTTGCTAACTATAAACTTTTATTATTTTCATTATTATTTAATTTTAATTAATTTTATTATTTAAAATTTATTAATTATTGTTCTCAAAAATACCTATTATTCCTAAAAATAATTTGATTGAAAATATTTTTCAAAACTTTCAACTCATCTATTAACAATTCATCCAATCCTCTAAATAATTCCATAAAGAAATAATTTATTTTCATTATTTATTAATATTTCTAGATTCTTCTTCTTTCTTTTTCAACTATTTTTAATACTTTTGGATATATTGAATTATTCGATCTTTTGCAGTCAGTACTTTCTCTTGTATTATTTCTTTTACCAATTATTTCAACTGAATAACTTTCAATGTCTATCTATCTTGTACCACTGTGCATAGTGCTCTGCCACACTTTGCTCATGCTCCGCCGTCTGCTGGCCAGACGCGGCTTTATTATTTTCTGACTGGCACGTAGATTTATGTATATATTAATTTTATTTCTTTTTTTTTTTTATTTTGTAACCTAAAGCATCTTCGTCTTGTCTTTCGTTTTTTTTTTTTTTCACTTTTTCTTAGTTTTCTTTAGCTTTTTGTTGTTGCTTCAAAGTGCAGACGCAATTTACTGATTACATTATTACTGGCAAATTGCTAGATTAAAGTTGTTGTTGTAGCTGTATTATTATTGACTTTTGAATTATAGTTATTAAATTTTTGTTGTATAATGTTTTTCAATCAAACGATATTTTTTGACAAACAATTTGCGAAGCGATTTATGGATTTATTTTGAAAATAATTGCTAGTAATTTATTAAATAATTTATGAATTATTTTTACAAACAGAAAACGTTTCAATGCAATTGATTTCTAATGATTCGCTATTCGCGCAGCCAACTCTCTCTTTCCTGCCCCGTCTCACCCAATCTCTCTCCCTCTCTCTCTCACTCAAACCACACAAATGTAGCGACAAAAGCAAACAAGAAAGCAAATAACAGAAAACCGGCAAGAAAAGCTAAGCAAAAGCAAAAATGTCAAAGAACAAGTGCAGCACATGGCAGCAGCGACATAGAGAGAGAATCTGCAAAGACTACGCTACGCTCACTCTCTCTCTCTCTCCCTCTCTAGCTTCTCTGCGCAAAAAGCACCCCAACAAAAAAAGTACACACACACACACACCCACACATGTGAAGCACGTAGTAGTCGTAGAAATTTTGCAGACAGTGCTGCCAATTCCTGTGCATAGTACGCATACTACAAACGGAGTATTTCTCCTGGCTGATAAGCGCGACAGCCGGGTCCGTCCAGTGCCAGCAGGAGGAGGAGAGGAGCTGGGGACGTGGAAGGTCTGGGCGGCCGCACATAATTGTAGTGGGGCGGCATCGATCGATTTTTCATGCCTCCTGCCGAAAAGGGGAGCAGACAAAAAATTGCTGCATACGCAGAGGAGCCAAAGAGAGGGAGAGAAAGACAGAGAGAGAGAGAAAGAGAGCAGCGAGCTCCAAAGCGTGCTCTCTGTGTGTGTGTGTGTCGTGTGTGTGTATATGTCTAAGGTGTGTTAACCTCAACTGTGCGCACAGACACACGCACACACGCACACACACACACACACACACTTTCACACACATAGTAAAACAGCGCATTAAAAGTTGGTAGAATTTTTTTCTAAATTTATTGCACACTTCCTACAGGTAAAATATATGTTTCATATTTTATTAAATTTAATAGAAGCAAAAATAACTTAAATTTAGCCGTATTTCAGCCTTAGTTAATTGCTAGATATTTGTTAAATTTATTTTAAAATTTATAGCTGAAATTATTGTTGCAAGCGCATGGCGCGCTTTACGAAATTTCTATAAATTTCTCGATTTGATCAAATTAAAATATTTTATGAAATAATTTTGTTTGTTTTCATTGCTTACGTTTTGTTTTGAGTCCTTAGTTTTTGCCGAAATGGCAACAACAGCTACTAATCCAAAATTTATTGATTTTCTTTGCTTTCTTTGCTATTTGATTTTAGCTGCTTTTCAGTGAGCGGCGAAGTTTTTCCGTTCGCTTTGTTTAGTTTTGCAATCACTGCTAAACACAACTGGCTGGCACCATTACTGCTTCTTTTATTATGCACAATAAACGACACAAATTGGTATGCATATATACACACACACGCGCATATATATGTGTATATATATATGATAATTTCTATTTATGATTTTGCCAACGGCGTTTTGGTATTACGATTTCCTGCAGTTGGAATGGATTTATTTTTGTGATAGGAATTATTTTGGCATTTTGTTTAACAATTTTTCACTGTGCCCATTTTCACGCACGCACACGCACACACACTCGCGCGAATCGCGACGCGACGTACACACACTCACACACGTACACGTATATAAGTTTTGCCTATGTACTATGTGGGGCGGCGACAATCAAGGAACGGGTCGGCGTGTGTCTGAATATCCCTTGCATTCAGTCGGTGCGCGCTAATGCTCAGCTCTGAAAGCCAAAACGTTCAACAAACAATATATATATACATATATATATATATATATATATGGATTTATATGTATATATATATTTGTTGGCTATCCGCAACCGTTGTCCTGTCACGAGCAACTCAATCGACACAATGAGCGGCGAGCAGTCTGGAAAAGTCCTCTGAGCCGATGAAAATGTGAAAAGCACGGCCTAGGCTCGACCGAAAATTTCCCACCACCAAAACCTAAGCATAGTGTGTGTGTGGTTCTCTGTGCAGCGAGAACGTATTGGAATACTGAGAGAGAAACAGAAAAAGAGAGGGCGAGAGAGAGAGAGAGACTAGACTGTCTGTGTGCTACACAGAAACAGAGAGAGAGAGAGAGCTAGACATAGAGAGACAGTGAGAGAGACGACGCAAGTGAGAGCGAGGCTCATCATCTGTTTGGACATTCTCACATCCTGCTGTTATTCACAGTTAGGTCTGATACCAACCGCTAGATGAAACTTCCTGACTTCCTACATTTCGTTTATACCACTTAAGACTACTCTTAGCTTTAGCCTATAGAAAATATCTAGCTCTTCTTCTTTTTGTTGTTGTTGCTGTTTTCGTTTAACAGTATTTGTGTAATATCCTGTATTTTCATGAGTTTCCGCTAGGTTCCCACTTCAAATGTAATTTATATTTTCTTACTATTCAGTTACTTCTATCAAGTTTGTGCTGCTTTTGATAGCTTTGAAGGGCTGTCAGTCGGAATATGCCCGACAATTAGTAAAGAAATACAGCTTAGGGTGTTGAGGTTTTAAAGATAAGCAATGTACTTGACACACTTTGTTCTGAATAAAATATTAAATATATATACATGTATATAAAATGCATAATAAATAAAAATATTATATACCCGAAAATATTCGAATATATTTTTAATATATTGTTATTACTAATTAAATGTTAATTCACATTTTTCCATAGTTAAGAAAATGTAATTATATTGTGTACCGGCTAAAGAGAAGCTAAATATTATTTTAATATAATATTTTCTTAAGAATTATTTATAATATTTATAATGTGATTTAATTTACTGTAGTGATACACATATAAAAAAGAAACGCATATTGAATATTAAAATATTAATATAGTAAAATAAAAGTAAGCTTTAAAAATATATAGCAAAAAAATGAGCTCAGGGTTTATTTCTTTTTTAATCTCTAATTTTTCTGTCCAGATGTATATCAGTTTATATACAATTACTACCATAAAAATATATTTCCAAACCATCAAATTTGAATTTTTACTCAGTTTTCCCCATAAAGCCATAGTTCTTATATGGCTACTTGCCATAAATTGAGGCATGCCAGAACCCCTCTTAGCTTAATCAGCAATTTCTTCCGGTAACGAAACTATAATCCTTTATATCGTTCTCATAAAATTCTTCTGCTCTGTCCCCAACTCTCGTCCACTTATTTCTCTTCTTTCTTCAGTTAACTTAACTGCATTTCAGCTATATAAGTATCCTACATATATATAGCCCACTAACTAGCACATCTAACTGTTTCACACTGGGAGTAAACCGCACCCCGGTCCTGTTAGAAAGCATCTGTCAAAAGCGCAGTCGAAGCTCTGCTCGTAAATACTGATTTGCATGAATGCAAAAACATAAAATGAAATTTGCATTTGACTGCACCGAGTACACCGAGTGGGTGAGGAGACGCGTTGAGGAGCTGCAGCCAGGCAAAGCGGAGCTAAAAATTATAATTCGCCACAATATTATATGAAGCATATACATCTACAGTGCAGTGGAGTGTCATGTGCAGTTATTCAAAGAGTGTGGGCGGGGAGCGAGGGTGGAGCGGAATGGTGTGGGCCCGGCTGAGGCCATGAGCGACAGTTATGCACACAATAAACGCTCGCATAAAGTCGGTAAATTTAGCATGAAATCAACGCGTGGGCAAAACAAAAAAAAAAAAAAAAAAAGAAGAAAAGAATTATATGAAACTGAAGTAAAAATAAATAAAAAATAAAAAAGGACGCCTCAGGAAGTTGGCCCTGCTGCCAGGCAATAGCAAAGCCAAAGGGAAGGAAGCACACAAAATGCGCGCCATATGATGAAGTAAACACACATACACACCGCTACACCCTCACACACACAAGCAGTCACACACACAAATCAAGTTAGCCGAAGAAACGACACAAAAAATTGTAACCCGCGAAAAAAATAACGCTGGCAGCGAAATGGGAACACGCCAAGTGGGAAATGCACACACACACACAGAGTCCTGGAGTCTGCAATGCACACAGACACACGATGTACCGTTACCGTCAAAGAAACCCGTCGCACGTTTTCCAATCAGACGAGACGAGAAAACACACGCAACGCACCGCACGCGACGCCAGCAAACGGAATTCTGAGTGGAACTTGTCGTTGCTCGCTGGCAAGGAGCGCAGGCGGAACGTTTTGGGAAAGTGGAACACAAAGACAGAGAGACACGCGGCGCTCCACAAACAGGGTGCACAAGCCATATGTGTGTGTGTGTGTTACCCACGAATGCCTGTAATTAAGCGCCAGCTATGCGTAAGTTTTGGCAATACTTGAGTAGGGCTAAGGTGAGGAGCGAAGGGTGCACCGGGTGTCAACTAGGGGTTGGGGTTGGTAGCGCTGGAGAATTGGGTGTCGGTTTAGTCTGTGAGTTTCGGGTTAAGGTTGTTTTCATTTCAAATTTAAAAGGAACGCAATTAATTAACCCAAAGCTGTGGAATTAAAATGTGCAGCTAAGGAAAAGTAGCTAAACAGTTGAAACTAGAGCAGAGGGGGTGACAGAGCCAGGGGGAGGCGCTGTGGCGGCTGTCGACAGCGTAAACGTTGACAGTTGAGCAGCTAACGGACAGGTACACGAATTGCCAGTTAAATCGCTCGAGCCTCACATAGCAAATGTGGCTGCAATTAGCCGAAATGCAAATAGAATTGAGCCATGAGTCAAAGCGAGAAAAGGTCAGATAAATCAATTAGTTTAATTTGTGTCAGTTGGCAATGCACTAAAATTGCTAAAACAGAATAATTCGATATTAATATTTAACATATTTGTAATTTATTAATTTATATTTTTCAAGCGAATGTGAAATATTTATATTTTTCTTTCAAAAAAATTAAAAATGATATATTTAAATTTAATATTAATAAAAAATGCATATTAAAAATAGTATGCTAATTTTTAGAATGCTACCATCTATGAATTCTAGTTTATTAGAAAAAAAAGGAGTGATAAGATTTAATAATATTAAAAGCAACTAAATTGAAATTTTACAATAATTACTTGACAAAAAAAAAAAATAATAATAAATAAATAAATAAATAAATAATAATAATAATAATAATAAAATAAAATACATAAATAAAATTACATATTATATATTTAATTTTTAATCTATAATTTAAAATAACATTTTTAAAAAATATATTTTGCTTTATTACTTTATTTTTAAATTTTGAATTGTGCATAGAAAATTAATTTATAATATAAAATACTATAGATTTTTTTTTTTTTCATTTATTTATTTATTTATTTATTTTGTTAAAACTTGTTAATGCGCTAACAATTTATGCTATTAGCTTTGAATATCGACCTAATTGTGACTTAGTCATATATTAAATAAACTTTCCGGGAATGCCAAGTTCTCAATTTCTAGCTGGAATCAACCCTCCTGAGCTGACCTTATTTATATCAATACTCCGTAGAAATATTTTGATACGGTTTGAAGTGGCACTCCCACGCTCTCTGCTCGATAGTTTCTCATAGGTAACAGAAGGTGACGATATGTGCACATAAATTAATGTCAATTCAAAATAGCTAGGCTATCGAATGTCGAGGAGAGCGCGCTATATCGACAGCTCAGCAGGAAGGCAGGAAAGCAGGCGGGCGGATGACGGGCGGCAGGTCCTGCAACAAATTGAGGCGCGAGCGTTGACTAATGAACTGCTGACAAATGAAAATGTCACAACAGAGCGACAAATGAAGCGTATGAAATGAAAATGTTGAGCTCAAATTATTGTGACATCGAAATGCACTAAAAAAATCAAGCTATAAAATGAAGAAGAAAAAATTGTGGATAAGAAACTCAAATAAAGACTCTGAAATACCCTGTAAAGACTGGAAGAACTAATAAGTAAATAAGAAGCACAAAATATTTCAAACTAAATTTAAAGAACTGCAAACTGAGCAAACCTGACTAAGAAATACCCTGAATAAAAATAGTGGCATAAAATATCTAATAATTATATCATTTAAAACGGATATAATAAAAATTCCAAATATCTCTTGCTTCTCTTATTTATATGTAATTTTAATTCAGGAAACTGCAAAGTTTGCAAATCTGACTAAGAAATACCCTGCATTCAACTGATAATATAATGTATAAACTATTTATAATTAATTATGAGTACCAAAAAGGGGGGAAAAGCCGTATTCCTTCTACTATTTATATGACTCAAATACCCTTTGTTTATATACAAGAAGTGCAGGGTATTATAAAATTGTAAGGGCAACTACACAAGCAACAAAATGTGGCAGACGACACGCCTCTGCAGCGGCAACTGCAGCAGATGTTGCACGCAGAAGGCAACAGGGAGAGGCAGGGAGATAAGGCAACTGAGTAAAAGAGGAAGCAGCGTATGGCAAATATACGTAAAGCCTACTGAGTCCAAAAACAAAACCTTTGAAGCCCCTCTATAATTATGCGATCAAGGGCGAACTCAACTGCAGCAGCCGCAGATCAAAGCCTGAGACAGAGACAGAGGGGCTCAGCCGCAGGCCGCAACCGCAAATGATGCTGGTTGACTTGGGCTCATCCAATAATGTCATCATAATCAGACGAATGACCGCGTCGGGCATGTTCCCACATTGTGCACGCAGCCAAAGATCATGACAGCAGCAGCAGTCGCAGCAGCCAAACGAGGGGAGCAGGGCGCCTCGCATTAAGTGATGGATAAGCATTTGAGATAAAGTCAAAATAATAAAAAATAATGTGAGTGGGTGCGCGTGTCGAAAGAGAGAGACAGAGAGAGGGAGAGCAAAACAGAAAGA